TCTCTCTCTCTCTCTCTCTCTCTCTCTCCCTCTCTCTCATCCTGTCCCTCTCTCCCCCACAGACCAGTCCGTGTGTCTCTAGACATGTCCACCAATGTGAGGATGTGTGGGAAGAGAGCCGCTAACCTGGCCAGGTACAAGGTGAGGGCCGGACTTTATGTACATGTATTTGTGTACGTGTGTGACTGGGAAAAGGGTTCTCAGGTCGCACAGGCTTATTTAGAGAAAATTTGGAAAATAGTGGAAAATCTTATTTTTGGGGAAATTTGAGACTTGCAAGAACAACAAGTCATCAACCATCGTTCTCACAAAATATTTCACGTATATTCTTCTTCTAGGTTTTTAAAAGCTTTTAAAAATACATATCCATTACGTAGTATTACGAAATGACGTTGACTTTTGACATTTTTCTCTAAAATAGTTGGTGCACACCCCTCACTCACAAACGTGACCAGATCTCAAAAACTATTTGAGCTATCTGAAAAAAAATGTTAAACAAAGGCTCCAGGAAATGCAATAAACTACAACAGTCAAAAATTGCACATGTGAACCCTTTTCTCAGGCTCCCATACATTTGTTGGAGAAAGCAGAAAAAATGTTTACAAATGACCCGCATTACATGTTGAAAAAAGGGAAAAATGATAGGCCTACCATTATTACAATTTGTGAAGAAATGAAACTGTTTTCCTTTCTCCTGAAAGTTCACAGCACTTCCCGCTCCTCACACACATTTTGCATACGCATAATATGGCTTACGTCACAGCTCTCCAATGATACTTTGTGTGGCAAGAGCTAGTTACAAGATATTTATTTTAGAGTGAACACTTTTTTTGCACTAAAGATTCTCAAAACATGCACTCAATCGGCATAATGTCGCAATCAGAAAAATGGCTGTAAACCTCTTAAAATCTCTAGAAACCATTCATTTGGATTTTTGACTAATATTTATTAAAGCATTTTCTAGAATACTGCTATCAGGTGTTTACAAAAATGTTGATCTGTTAAGACGAATTGATACATGTCATTGTGCAAAAGCTGGAGAGTCTAAGTTTGATAGTTTAGGAAATATCTGACAATAAGTTACGCCACGAATTTTTAACCGCACTTTCCTCGTAGTGTGTTGTGTTCTTAATCCAGCCTCCCCCGGGATTTTCTTCCTTCCTGTTCACGCCATGTATCTTGTCATTCTCCCCCCTTCCCTCCCCACTTCCCCGTGCCCCCTCCTCCCCCCATTCCCACAACCCTCCCCCACCCCCTCACAACCCTCCTCCCCCTGCCCTGCCCGGTGGGAACACAGGCTGGCTTCAGCGCATCCGGAGATCTCCAAGTTGTGGATTTGGATTTCTACTTGGATTGTGGATACACCCCGAATTCTGCTCCCGAGCTGATCCACATCGTGGCTTACATTGACATGGGTTTGTTACTTTTTATGCTATACTTTAAACAGCCTCAATAATAATTTATCAGGGTCTATGTCTACACATCATGCATAAAGACAGAATACTACAAGGTACAGTGGAACCTGCTCCAACGGCCACCTGTCCAAGACAATCACCTGTCCAAGACAATCACCTGTCCAAGACAATCACCTGTCCAAGACAATCACCTGTCCAAGTGTCCAAACGACCACTGTCCACTTCACCCCTTGCTTTTTTTCTTTATGTGGCACGACGCGGTGGAATCGGGCGCTTGTCAGTTTTTGGACAAGTGGAGTTATTGGTATCATTTTAAAGCATTTTCATTTGTCTTGCTTTCAATGAAAAAATATCCTTTTATCTTGAATACAAGTCGAGATATTAATTATGATTGAAGGAGGTGGAGGTCACCTGGTCTCTGAGGTTAGATAAGCTAAAAAAAAAATGGTCACCAAAGTGTAGTTATATCTTAGCTTGAGACTGCATGGAAATAGAAAATGTACATTTTGTATGCCTTCTATTGACATTTTTAGAACAATCCACACAGAAATTTGTTCCTGAAGAGAAAGGAAAATTGTTGGGCCAAAAAACAAAAATTAGATAAAAATTGCCAAACCTCGGCAAAAATGCTGATTCTTCACTTTCATTATTTTGACGAGCGCCTGATTTCACCACGCTGCCTCACATATTCTAATGAAACTGCCCAAAACACCCACCTGTCTAAAACAATTATTTTCCTCTTCCACAATGAGAGGGCCTGTACTTTGACTGTGCGTCTGTCTGGTCCTATAGAATTGTCTGTCTCAAGCTGTGTAGTCTGTGAATTATTTCATTATTGTGCTCAGTATAGATCGAGGGCGGCCTAGTAAACTATGGTAAAACAAGTTTTTCAAATTTTACAGGAGAAACAAAAAACAGATTTTCTTGAAGCGTTATGAACGTACAAATTTCAATTTCAAAAGGGGGCTTAATGTCTTATGGCATTTGTAGGCTCCCTTATGAAAATGAAGTTTATCCACCCAAAACGACACTTTAAGAAAATCCGTATTTTGTCTCTCCCGTAAAATTGGAAAAACATGGCGGCTTCATTCCAGGCACACTGTAAATCCCCTGACCATGCTCTTCCTTTCCTTCCAGCTTACTACATTCCCCACTGGAAGATCCGATCTCACCCGATGTTTTCCAACAAGCAAACCTGCAGTCCAGTGAGGGCACCTGGTGAGTGGTGGGTGGCGGGTGGCTGGTGGCGGGTTGTGAGTGGCGGGGGGTGAGTTGTGGGTGGCGGATGGTGAGTGGTAAGTGGTGGTAGACAAAGAAATATGTAAGTAGGACCCCCCCCCCCCCCCCCCAAAAAAATGAGCTTCTTCATCAGCTTCATGATTTGTTCCTGTCACTAAAATTGCTGTTGCCTACATCAGAAAGAGAAAAGTGAACAGGCAAGCTGTGAAGTCTGAATAGAATGCATTATGTTTTAGAAAACACACTGTACAGTCGAACCTGCCCTAACGGAAACCTGTCGTAACAGAATCTCCTACCCTCCCCCCCCTCCCCCCCTTGATGTATTTCTCTATAATTACCTTTCTAAAACAAAAAATTGCCTATTGCAGAAACAGAAAGAGAAATTCCTTCTCTTTAGAGAGTTATTACCTGTTGGAGATGGAAAGTTTTTCGGGCTCCATTGCGATTCCGTCTTAGACAGGTTTGACTGCACTTGATAAGGTGTAAAAATGTTTTAAAGATAAATAAATCACATTTTTATTTGTCCCAGAAGGGCACTTTGGTTTACAATGGCAAGCATACATATACATACATAAATACATAGTTATAAATACGTACATAAATACATGCATAAATACGTACATAATTACACAATATTACACAAATACAGAACAGTTTACAACCATGCCACTGTCGGTCGCCACTGTGCAGCGTCCTGTATTTTGAGCTAGGGATGTCGTGTCTTGCTCAAGGACACACCCCAGTGACCACCCATCTAAACCCCGGCAGCTTTTGATCAATTTGTTATCAAATTTTTTGAGAATACACTTCTTGTTGGAGCACATGAAATTGCTAGTAAAAGGTTTTTCATCCTCAAAAGAAAGATATGTGAAGGACGTTTTAAGAAATCAGTGAGTCCAATTTTTATTTAGAGTCCAAGAATTTCACTGATCAGACTAGACAATGGGAAGAAAGGTTTTTGAAGGATGAAGATTTGACTAGTATAGTGATAACAAGGAAAGGTGTTGTTGTATACTTTTAGTGAACACATTTCCAAGCTCACTGCCAGACTGTTTTTCTCATAGACATTTTTATACATATATACATATATAAATATGCATAATACTGTGTTTTACGTACTCACATGCCGATTAATATTTAAGATGTGATAGTAAAATTTGACAAATTAATCAGCATGAGTGTACGTAAAACACAGTATTATGCATATTTATATAGAAAGTGACAGATCTTTTTAAAAAATATGTAGATTACTCTCAGTCGAAACAATGGTTTGTAGATGTTCTGGAATATGCACTCTTTTTGTAACCTTCACTTCCCCCTTTGTCCACCAGTAAATGTCTGCTCTTCCTCTCCGCCCCCCTCCATCCCTCCCTCCCCCACTCCATCCCTCCCTCCCCCATTCCCCTCTCTCCTTCCCTCTTC